ACAATTCAGCCCATCGTGGAACGGGGGATGCCTATTAATGATTTTCACTGCTTTGTACTTCAGTCTATGCAAAAATAGTTCAAACACTGGAAAACAGTTAAAAATTTCACGCACCAGCGCATGAAAGTTCAATTCGAAACCTTGAAGGGTGAATATCTTTCCGTGATTCCTGAGTTAAGAGTTTACCCGCCAAAAATTTTCACAAGGCCGCAGGTGATATTCAAGAGCGCAGGAACGCTGAATTTGAATGGGCAAGTTTGAGCGTGGGCAGGGAGTTATTACCCTAAAACTTCAGCCTCCTAGACCCCATAGTTCGTAAGACATTGTTTACCTGTAAAAAACATTCACGGCGCCGTACGTGTTACCCGCGGGTACGGGGAAGCTGAATTTAAATATGCGGGGTCACAAGTGAGTGGGGAAGGTTCCCCTAAATTTTCAGCTTCCTAGCTTTTGTGTTTCCCGAGTTTAAAGTTACGGACAAGTTGCTGCGGGCATACACACACACACACACACACACAAACACACAGATAACCCCGTGACATTATGCGTTTTCTACTGCTGTTACACGGCACAAAACGCAAAAAAGTCAGTCAGACAGCAGAAGACAGATGAAAATGTCATTCTTTGATTTCTTGCCCAAGACGCTGCAAGTAAAGAACTTCTTCGCAAATCCAGAAATAAACAGCTAGTTGATAAATTTACTGGTACATTTGAATAAATTCAGGTATATTCTTGAAAAATTAGAAAAAAAACAAGAAACAGCTCGCCTGGAGAAAACATGTTTGCAAAACGTACTTTCATGGCGAACTGATGAGCGTGAAAAATAAATATCCCTTTCGATCACCCAAAATTTCTCTCTTTGAAGTGAGAAATCTTGCATCTGACTAAGGCAGAGATCTATGGTGTAGTCCCATGCACTCCACAACGGATGTCCGTGTACGGATGGTATCGCAGGTTGTGAGACCACGTGACAGTGATTATCGCACATTATTCGGTCAGCCAAAACAAAACTTCGAAACACTGACGATAACACCAAATCCTAAAACAACGAACAATAAATACATAAAAACTTGATGGCTTGAAGAGCTGTAAAAAAGCTGAAATCGTTCAGCAATTTTCTTGTCCGCGAAATCAGTGGTTCATCTAAGACCTCTCTACTTGATAATGCCTAAATTTACCTCCTATATATATATACTAAAAGCTATCAATTTTACTCGACGGCCTTTGCCCTGTGTGTTCATTTTTATGCGCTTTGTGCTGTGTAATAGCGTTACAAAACGCATATTGTCACGGGGTAGTCTGTGTGTGTGTTTGTGTGTGTGTGTCTCACATTTTGTCCCGCACTTTCAACTCGGGAATCACAAA